CTAAGATTTTTCAACTAAACACTATGTTCATTTTTTAAACAAAAAAATGATTGCTCATGAATTTTCCTGTATTCACACTCCATACAAAATGGAGTGGCAAAAAGAACAAGTCTTCCACCTATTACCCTTTCAAGCCCCAAATCTCCATCTCTAACAGTACCAACAATCATTCAACTAATCCTTAATAATCCGTACATCATGGTCCATAACTTATATACCAATGTATAGCAAAGCAAGATGTGGTTACAAGACTCCTCCCTCTTGCATAGAAAACAACCATTCACCATAATTTTGTCTCTTCTCATTACCTTGTCAATAATGAGAATACACTCATGTCCTTTGTCTCAAAAAAAATATATTTTTATCTCAAAAAAAGAGAATATACTCATATCCTGCCTCCCACGCAAAGAAAACAGTTTTGGTTAAAACATTCACCTTCCAGATTTGCCAGAAAGAAAACGATGTCATTCTTAACCAAAAAATTATAGAAAGACCTAACCTCGAATGTCCCTGTAGAATAGAGAGTCCAAACAAATTGGTTATTACTCCTGCTCATTGAGATAAAAGAGAGTGTATTTAGTAGAGACTCATACTCATTAATTTCTCAATCATTAAGTTCTTCATCACATCCATATGCCACTCTCTCTTCCCCCTTATGTCTCTGAGTGACTCATGGACCAAGATATCTTGAGTGTTCCCCTCTAAGCCAAGGATCCTTCCAAAAACTAATTTTATCCCCATTGCTGAGGGTCCTAAAAATTGATTCTATCCCCATTGTCTACCTTCCACCTAGTGCATTCCTAAAATTTATCCATGCCCACGCATATTTTTTCCCACATCTCATTCCCATGCGATCTTGACAATTCTCTAGAATACTATCCACCATCATAGTACCGAACTTTGTCTTTATCACTCTCCACCAAAGGCTACATTTCTCTTTCATAAATCTTCAAAACCACTTATCCTGGAAAGTCATATTTATCTCCACAAGTGACTTCTATCCCAAAGAACCCTTAGACATTAGCTTTTTGATCTCATCCCATGCTACCAAATGGTGTTTTTTCCTATCATCAGAATGGCCCTAAAGGAATCTACATCTAATTGATTCCAATCTCTTAGCAACTCTAGTTGAGGTTGTCAGAAGGGACATAATAAATAGATAGGTTGGTCAGTGTAACTTTGATGAGTGTGAATCTCTCCTCTTTATACAAGAGGTTTCTTTTCCATCCTGTCAACCTTCTCTTTAACCTTGCCACAATGGGATTTCACGTTCTTACATCTTTATCATTGGCCTCTAACGGCAACTCCATGTTCCTAATCGGCAGCTCCACACTTTTTAACCCAAGATTCTTGCCAACCTAGCATCATCACTTCCATCCCTCAATCTCACCGATTCAAACTTAGTAAATTTGACATTAAAGCCTAAAATCACTTTGAACTTTAATAAGATGCATCTAAGATTGAGCGAATCCCCTTCGTCCAGCTCACAAAATACTAGAGTATCATTAGCAAAAAATCCAGCTCACGAAATACTAGAGTATCACTAGCAAAAAATAAGAGCGTTACCTCATGTACTCACCCTCTTCCACTTTAGGGTCTCTAAACAATTTCATCCTCTAGCTCTTAACAACATTTTATTCAATGTTTCCATAACAATAATAAAAAGTAGGGGAAATAAAAGGTCACCTTGCCTCAACCATCTGGAAGCCTTGAGAAAAGAAGATGGACCCTATCACCATAACTGGAAACAATATATAGGTAATACAGGAGTTAATCCACTTGCACCATTTATCCCTGAAGTCCATTCTTCTTGGCATATAACCAAGAAAGCCCCAATTTATATGATCATAGGCTTTCTCCATATTTAACTTAAATAGGACCCCGTTACTATCTCAAGATAACAGATCATCCACAACCTCATTAGCTACAAGCTCTGCATTTATAATTTGTCTTCCTTCCACAAAAGTTTATTGACACTCCTCAACCACTTTATCCATTACCTTGGTCATCCTTATGACTAACACCTTTGTGATAAACTTATAGTTGTTCCCAATTAAACTGATAGGTCTGAAATTCTTGATATTGTCTGCCTCCTCCTCACTAGCAATAAGTACCAAGAAAAAAAAAATTAAGAATTTAACAAAGGATCCTGATTCCCGCAATACCTTGAAGAACTCTACAATATCCTCCTTTGTTATGTGCTAGAATTTTTGAATAAAACTCATGTTGAAGCCATTTGAGATAGAATTGTGTTTTTCATGTCTTTTTGAGCAAGTGAACAGTTTCTAGGGGTGTTCTTCCCAAGTAGCCTCTGCCTTTTAAAAAGATAAATATCAATTACTACTGGCAAGTTTGTCATGAACATGCATGGATATATTTATGCATACTTCTCGGGGCCTTTGTGTTATGTCTTAAAGGGTAATTCATGCACAAACATGATATCCACAAATATATAGCTGCAAACACATATACACACTCATAGGGACATAGATTGCATTTGAAAAGAATACTACCACTAGAAGAGAGCAAAGTAATTAGTAACAGATATGCCATATATTTGATGAATTTTTGCGGTCATACCTAATGAAAACTATAAAATGCTACCTTTAATAAATGTTTAAAGCTTCATGTTAACATTTAAGAGCTTATGATTATCGAGAGAGGATAACTTTTGTTTTAAAAAAAAAGTTAAAATATAGAAAGGCCAAAGGGATTTTGAATTACCTCACATGTAACAAGAACTATAGTTGCATATGGCTCCCGAAACCAAAATAAAGATTGCTCCTGAGGAAATCGGCTACGGAGTCTAGAATCAGTTGTTAATATGTATTCAGCATGTAATTTTTCAACAAAGACTGGATTACGAGTCTTGTTATTTAAACAAGCCCTCTTAAATGGCAGCCTTTCCTCAAATTCACCCTTAACCGTAGGCCACAAATCACTCACATCTTCAACTGGAGAACAATGATGTAAAAAGCATTAGATAGAAGTATGTAGAAAAAAATAAAGTAAAATGATAAATTATAGGAATTCAAAACAATTCCTTAAAATTACATATTATCCTCCCCTTGTTATTTCAAAAAACAACAAGAACAGAAATTGATGATGGATCATTTTATTGAGGGCTGTCAAACATTAGTTGGTTTCAGATCCAGGATATAAATACCAGAATATCCTATGTTTTAAAATAAGAAAGATCAATATCAGTCTGGAGAGCTTCCAATTGAAGATTACAGAGCTTAGATTGCAAAGACAAAACAAAGATCGAAAGTTTAAACCTAAGGGAATGTCTGGAAGAAATGAACTTTTCTGGAATTCATTTGGATTTTTATACTTAATCCAAACATGCGAGCATAAAAGTTCAACTCCACGTAAATTCTGTCCTATTTTTTTGTTAGAAGAAAAGAGAAGCATTCATTGAAGAGCACCAAGAGGCTGCCACCAAAGAACAAAATATATACATAAAACAAGAATGTAGAAGCTTTTATGAGTGTCTATGAAATTGCTGAAATCTTTTGTCAAAATGAGAGGATGGCCATTAAAGGAGAAAATTAAAGGATTTGAAAATTAAAGGTTCATTTGTTTCTTCCTAACAAATAAGCCATGAAGCTAGAGGGATAAGAGAAATAAGATTTCCTCTTCTTATCACTTTGATATACCTTCCCAAGTCCACAGCTTATAAGAAAAAGACTAGCCATCAACCATAAGCCATAGAAGTTAAAATGCATCTTAACAAAAGACAATCTGGGGATCCGAGCTGCTTGCTTATAAACAGCCATTCACCAGATTTTGTTGTTTTCAATGAAATCATTGATAGTGAGGACACGCTCATTGGTGGCTTCACAGGAAAAAAAAATCTAGAGGAAGCATGTTTCTCCTAGATATGCTTCCAAAGAAACAAAGAAGAACCAACAAAAGGATGAGAAATGTGAAGAAGGTATGATTTTGCCGGAAAACAGCCCTTGGGGCACAAGTTGAAAACTAGCTCATCCTCCCTAGGTTAGGCAACTTTTGTGTCAAGCCCATGGAGAAACCTAATGTGGTCCTCTTCCTCTCAATCAGTCAAACTCCTCACAACCTCCGCCCTCGCACCACCTGCCAACTATCGCATGCAAAGGAAATCTTTTCTTCTAACCAAGGAAAACAAAGTAAAGTTATACTTGCAAAGAGAAGAAAAGCTACATTAAATTCCCAAAACCAAACTCTTGAACCAAGAGCCACTTTGAAATGGACGTAATCCTCAAACTCCTCCTAATTCATACTAATCAAACTCTAGAGACCGGTGCTTTAAGGGCCCGATAGCCTTTTGCCACAGTAAACCAAACTTCACTCTAATTGCCGTTCACCAAAAACATTGCTGACACTATTGTTAGAATATTACGATTTACCATTAAAATTTCATTATCCAATCAAATGACAAAACGATTTGGATCATATAAATGAATCGCAATCGATCACAAATTGTACGCAGAACTAAAAGTGACTTCACTTAATTCATATGTTTCACTCAATTATAGTTAACACTAAATTTAACCAAATTTTTAGACATTTATTTTCATTTAGTTAAAATAATGTTTTAAGGCTAATAGGCCATTGTCTTTTGTTATTTTGAAAAATAAATTGTATTTATTAGCACAATTTACTTTGAAAATAAATGTTATTTTAGTTGTGTATACTAATAGTATAAATTTCTTAAAATATTATATTCTTAACTATCTCTTAGTTACATGTCAGTAAAAAAAGCATTTTTTTGAAATAAAAAGTATAATATTTGTATTAGCAAGGTACCAAAAAAGAGGGGGTACCGCCCCTTTACAAAAGATCTACAAATTTGTTAGTGAGTCAATGACATCCCCAAAATCCTCAACTTGAATGATATCATGCCCCAACACAAGACAACCAAAGTAGTTAAATCATCTCTCTCTTAATTTACTAGTATTATTCACAATCCCCTCAAAAGCTCTTAAATTTCTTTCCTTCCAAATAACCCAAAAAACAGACAAGGGAATGAGTCTTGCAATTTCAGTTTTCAGCCCTGCCCCATCCCAGACCCAAATCTCCTCCTCAATCGAACCAGCCTGTATCCAACAGATTCCTACCGAGTCATACACCAAGCTCCAGAGTTCATAGACAGTAGGGCACCTAAGCAGAAGTTGTCGACAGTCTTCCTCATTTCTCAAGCACATAAAACAGTCATTCACTAAAGTACATCCCCTAACCTTCAATTTGTCCAGGGTTAAAATGCTTCCCAAGCCTCCCATGCAAAGAAAGCCATCCTTGGGGGCACAAAGTTTTTCTAGATTAAGGTGCTGGGAAATCTGGAAGAACTACACTTTGTATGACCCATCAGCTTGTAATAATAAGAGCTCACCGAAAACTCACCATTTTTGCACCCCCTCCATGGTACCTGATCTGGATCACTGCAGATTTGAAAGTCATATATGTTCTTCAACAGGTTTACATACTCCTCCACTTTCCAATCATTCAAATTTCTACAAACATTAACGGACCAGATACATCTGTCATTATCCCTCACAAAGCCTCTTCCACCAACATATATTAGGATTGTGCAATTGTATAGATTATGCGGAAACGGACTTTAAGACACCCTCCCTCCAACCACTGATCGTGCCAAAATCTAGTTTCATTACCTCTACCCACTTTCCAATTCAGGTTCTCCACAAAACCAGACCAAACCATCTTGATTTTCCTCTACAGACCTAAGCCGTGCCCTTTTCTATCCACCCTCCCCAAACTCGTAAGTGACCAGGTCTGCCACCTAGCCAAAATCAACCTCTTCCACATCATACCATCCTCTCTTAAGAATCTCCACAACCACTTGCCTTGTAAAGTTTTATTAAATTCAACCACCGATCGAATGCCCAAACCACCAACATAAGTAGGCTTCTTTATTTCGTCTCATTTGACAAGATGAAACTTCTTTCTATCCACTCTATTGCCCCATAAAAAACGACATTGAATAGTCTCCAATTTTTTAGCAACACTTACCGTAATGGTCAACGTTGAGAGATAATAGACGGGATAGATTTGCAAATGTGCTCTTTATAAGCTGAGTCTACCCCCTTTAGACGAATTTTTTTTTTCCATCCCGCAAGTCTAGTCTTAAACATGTCAATTACCGGTTCCCAAGTTTTCTTCTCCTTGTACTTAGCACCAAGAGGCACCCCAAGATATTTAATGGGAAGATTTGTGACCTTACAGCCCATCACCTTAGCAAGGCTGCATTCATCACCCTTATCCCCTAATTTGACAAGTTTGGATTTATCAAGGTTGATATTGAGTCCAGAAACACCTTGAAAACAAAGAAGGATGCACTTCAAGTGGAGAAGAAATTGCTTTTCGGGATGACAAAACAGCAAGGTGTCATCCGCAGAAAATAAATGAGAAATTTTCATCTCCTCATCACCCCTGCCAATCACCACTCACTTGAGAAGCTGACACTGTTTACATGTCAGTAAATATTAACCGCCAAATTATGTTCCAAATTTTATGTTTCGATTTGACTCACAATTTTGGATTCAAAAAGTTCGGTTTTTTATTCGCAGTTCAATTTGAAATTCAACAATTGTGATCCTTGACTATTTAAAAAAAAAAAACAACAATTCTGAGGCTTGATTGATCATGAAGTTTCAAAGCCATTTGTCAAGAAGTGCTCTGCTAAACTCACCAAAGATTTGATACCAAGACCACCTATGCTCAAAGATTGTTGAACACATCTTGTCCACCCACTGGAATCTCCCTTTAACTTTTCACAAGAGTAAATGAAAGAAAACCCTTTTCATTGAACAAGTCATTCCCCAAATCTAGTGATCGCCTATTCCCATATAGCCTATCTTTGAATTAGCCTCCAACAGCAGGCCAAAATATTCTAGAGGAAAAGAAGAGACCTTACAAGCCATAATCCTTGTATAGACCTCCCATCCACACGACTACCTAGAGGGACGAAGCACATCAACACCATTACCCAGAAGGACTAATTCAACTCCAAATTTGATGGGATTTTGATTGATTGTTTAAAGGAAATATAGGTTCATTTGTTTGATTCCTATCTTTACAACACTATTTGAAGCATGCCAAGTAGAGATGATTTCATAAAGATAAAACTTCAATTCAATTCCATATAAATAATTAATTTGTCAAAAACTCGGCCCAACATTAGAGACATTTCAAATCTAAGACAAAAAAATTATAACCAAATATCGCAAATTGATAGATTCAATCCAAGAACATTAGAGCTTTTAATTCACAGATCGAGACATATACACACACAACGAACCCAAACAAAGGAGGAAAGGAAAGGAAAAAATCAATTTTAAGATTCATTTTGTTTAGCCTAAGATTAAGAGTCACATATATAGGGCATACTATATAGGGAAAAGGATTTAAATGAACCCTATTTTGAATCTTTAACTAGCTTATTTGTTTTTTAATGATCCCAAATAGGTGGTAGCATTATATGCAGAAGGCGATAAGATGATTTATAGAAAAACATGAATAAAAGAGCCCAAAGTATCCTACTTGATACATTTGACAATTTTGTCTTCAAGAAAACAAAATATAATTTCATTGCGGAAATATTTCCTTTTCCAAACATTTTCCTCTCAAGGTATCACATAACAGATATAAAAATAAAATTTGAAACAAGTTCCAGTAAATTTTTAAAAGAACATTGACACAGACATGCATCAACAAAATGTATGAAGAATGGCATCACTGGCCTTTTTACTCACTGTTCATCCGGAGTTGAATTGCCTCAGTGTGTTCCAGTAAATTTTTAAAAGAACATTGACACAGACATGCATCAACAAATGTATGAAGAATGGCATCACTGGCCTTTTTACTCACTGTTCATCCAGAGTTGCATTGCCTCAGTGTGTTTCACATATAATATACAGCCTATAGGTGTCATATAAAAAATCATTGAACTATTTAATGATCTAATTAATTATTTCAATAGAAATATAGATTTTTTTTAAAAAAAAAAAACCCTATATTACATTATCAATTCTTGCATTCTCCTCAATACTCTTCAGCCCCCCTATGCTACTTGGCGGGATTCAATTAACTAAATGCTATCTAGGGCAAAGCAGTACCATTGAACTTTTATTTGACAGGAAAATGCTCCCTAATTTTGCACCATATCTTTATATTTGTTTAGCTAACAACAATCTTAACACTAGCATCATCAATTCTACTTATCATGAGTAACCTGCGGCAACACAAATGAGTGACCTTCGCTATCAATTTCAGTTCAAATCAAGAATTAGAGAGCTTTCAACTCCCGCACACATACATAAAGCCACACTAAAAGAGAC